AAAGAACTACTGCTTTTTGTAACAAGATTTTTTCAATCATATACAATATATTTTAAAATTAAATCAGTGGTTTTCTATTACTTTCCCACCACAATTTCCTGCATTGGTATTTCCCTTTTGTGCTTATTATTTTACACTATCCCCAATTACATATCTCTTTGGAAAATCTCTCTCTTTTTTTAAACCCTTGAAATGCAATACATATTGATAGCTAAGAGGCAGTGGAGTTTAACAGTTAAGAGCGCTGCGGGCACTGAAGCAAGACCTACCAGTACATATGAAACCCAGACCTGTCCCTGATCAGCTTGAAGTGCTTAACTTTGCTTCTATTTACTCACTTGTGAAAGGAGGAAAATAATGGTACTGACCTCACAGAGTTATTGGCAGAATTTAATTAACATATGTAAAGTACTCAAATAGGGTATGTGGCGAGAATGGAAATAATGCCTCTTGTAGTAAAGTAATATGTAATAAAGTACAACATAAATACTAGCTACCGAAGTCACCAGTAAAACAACACCAATTGTTATAAAAGCAATGGTACTCCTTTAATAACTGTTCAGAAATGAAGGCCCCAGAGCATTAGGGTTCTCAGTTCAAAGAGGAAATTATAATTAAGAGGATCCATATACCATTACTGTCCAACAGAACTTACTGCAACAATGAAATGTTTGTGGTGTTCAATGTGACAACATTAGCCAAATGTGGCTGGTGAACACTTAAAATGTGGATACTGTTAACTAAGTACTAATTTTACGTGTTTTGAATTAATGTCAAAAGATAATCCCCAAAAATCCAAAATACTGTTTTAGAGTAGTCAAATTAGACTTTTCAGATTATTCACCATTTAAATGGAACATGCCATCTTAAAACATGCAAATAAATAAGACTGTACAAAATCGCAGATATTTAGCTCAGTGGCATAAGCACCTGCCTGGCAAGCCTGAGGTCATGAGTTCGATCCCCGGTACCAAAAAAAAAGATTTTACAAAATCCAGAAATGTTTAACAATGAAAAATATATTACATGGTAAACAAAGGCTACTTCTGCTGCTGTGTGGAACAAACTGAAAAATATAAAATTTTAAACTAGGCATATTTGCATATTCCTGTAATGCCAGCACAAAGATGGTCAAAACATTAGGCTCACTTTGAGCTCAAGGCCAGCCTGGACTATATGATTTTAAGTCCAGTCTGAGCTACAAAGCGAGACATTGCCTTAAAAAAATTTTTGAATTACAAATACAACAAACATATAGTATTAAATGATAGCAACTTCCTTAGTTCAAAGGACAATGGTAAATCTCAACACTTTTGGGTATTCTAGAATGTAAGAATTTTAAGATGAAGAGGAAATAGAAGAGCTCATATTCTTGAGCTGATAATAGCAAAAGATCTGTCTCATTCTCTCATTTTAAAAATGACAAACTTCCTTGTTTTATAACTAGGGGAAATGGAAGAGAAGAAAAATGCCAACATCTTTGTATATGTTTAAACTCATGAAGACAGAAAAGTAATTTGCCCAAGATTACATGGCTAATACGCACTCAAGACAGAACTGAACCTGCACCTACCTCGTTTTAAGACTACACACCAGAACGCTTGTCAATACCAAGCCTGCTACTGGAAACAAGGCAGCAAGAGACCTTAAAATAAATCTACCTCTCTGATCATTTGAAACATCAGGGTCATCAATATCAAGATGAGGGAAATAAACAGATAAATAGGAAATGTATATGAGCCACTAACATTTTTGTGGGAAAGCTCATGTTAAAATATCCCTATGTGTTTCCTAGTATATACTACTCGTAAACAGAAATTAAATCAAGAATAAAAGGTGTCTTTAAGGGACAAGCATTAACAGAAAGAAAACAGGCAAGAAAAACATGGAAAAAGGGGAAGCAGTTTCAGAAAGATTAGTAATTGTCATTAGAAACTACTTCAAGTGCTACTGTAAACCAGTGTCTCAAACTATATATATATGTGAACCATAAAATCAATACTCTAAAATATGCTAGGTAATTGAGAGAAATACAGGGTCTCAACAGGCCCAAAGAAACAAATTATTTTGCTTTGACAAAATCAAATTATAAAACCAGTCTGTTGCTACATTATGTGAAAGAAGTCATGTGATATATACATCGTATTTACTTGTCTAGATAAACTATTCAGTAAGCTTTTGATCTTATTAAAACTTTGCTCAGAAATAAAAGTTCTTTGGGATTTGAATCCAGCTTATTGAAATTCAGGAATCAAATAGATTATGCTAAATTTTTAAGATTCTACTGTTTCACAGAAACTACATCCATCACAATCTGAACTCATGTTAGCATCCCCCCAACAGAGATCTGGCTGTCAATCTGACAGGTCCCATCATCCAAGCTCAGACACCAGCGTAAGTGTTGTTGCAGTTTCTCCTAGTAGGTCTAACTCTCAGTTCAAAGGGGCTTTCTTTTCTAAGTTTTTTCCTTGTCCTTGAATCTGATAGGTAGTACCTGGTACCCTACTGTGTCTTATCTTCATACAAGTTTTATTTTTATCTTTTCTATTACTTAGTTAACAACTTTATATCTAGTTACCAATTCTCTCTATAAAGCATGTCTGTTTAAATTACTAGTATGGATTTTGCCTAGGCTAAGAACACTAAAGAAACAAAACTGTCTCATACAGAATATAACATTGCTACTGTAACTTTCATTAAAATGTAAGGTTAGCTGGTGGTAGCATACATCTATAATCCCAGCACTTGGTAAGATGAGGCAGGAAGACTGCCATGAGATCAAGGTCAATCTGGATGACAAAGTAGTCAAGGCTAGCTTGAACTACGAAGTGAAACCTTGTCTCAAAAAATGTAAATAAATGAATAAAATTATGTTAAATGAAGACATTTTAAAAGTAAATAAGCAAATAAAATTATGTGAATTGAAAATATTAAATGGTACTTCTTATTTCCATACTTTCTATGAAGTATTACTTTTTAATCCTAAAAATACAGTAAGAATTCTTAATCCTAATAAAGTCAGGAGTGGTAGTGCATGCCTATAATTTCAACACTTGGAAGGCTGAAGACATGAAGATTACCACAAGTTCAAGGACAGCCTAGACTACACAGTGGGCTGAAGACCAGCCTAAGCTACACAGTGAGACCCTAATTTCCAAAAACTAAAACAAAAAAACAACAACAAAATCCTAATACATTTCTATATTAAACAAAGAACCAATATCATCTCTAAGAAAACAATACTTACTCTAAATATTTAGGATGACTGGGGGAACAACTATAATTCATTTACTATCTTAATTGTGTCCAAAGTTTTTTTTCACACACTTCCATTCCACTCCCTACCTTGACTTACATATTTAATATCCACTTGGTGAACAGCCTTAATATGACTGTTTCATTGTAACCCCACCACTAAAACATATTTAAGGAAAAATATTAACTGGAAGATCAAAATATCCTGAAGAAACCATTCCCAAATTTTAAATACAGTATTGAAAGAGAGAGAAAAATGACTATCTCCATCATACTAAAAGGAAACCAGTGAGTCAAATTAGTTCTACAACAGCTTGGAAGATTAAAGAAATTATGAGTCTTTTTATTAAAAAAAAAAAAGCTCTTTTCAGAGCTATTCAGATGTCTCTTATTTACAGAGGAAGGGAAAAAAACTCAAGGGAAATAGAAAAGCAATCTTTTCATCTATTTCCACTCCCATAGAAAGAAATGCCATAAAAGCACAAAGTTTTTCTACTGAGGAAGAAGTACATAAAAATGAAATAACAGCTTCACTGTTCATTTTCTTTTTGTAGTATTCTAGAAAACTAGAATCTCTCTCAATCCTAAGGATTCCTTAGCTTCACACTTATGGCTCTAGTAACTTTGTATCTGTCTTTTCTCCTCTCATGTCTTCCGTAACAAGATAATTCCAACTCTCTTCCAGCTCTGCTCCAGCCACATAGACCTCAATATTTTTTAAACACACAGAGAAACCTTCTGCCTGGGCACTTCTTGGATTTCTTCGGGGTAGAATGGTCATCTTCCACATACTTAATATAAGGCTCATTCCATCACTATTTCAGTTCTTTGTTCAACTGTCACCTTCTCTGTGATTTTCCCTGGCTACCCTATCTAAAATAACACATATCCTCATTACTTCACATTGTCCTCCATTTTAATTATCTTAGCCCTAATCACTGTCACTCTCTTAACAGATATTTCTACTTGTTTTGTTAATTTTCTCTCCACTAGTAGGTATATTCCACGATTATGGGGATAGTGTTAAATAGCGCACCAGGTATTTGATATGCTAAATGAATGAGAGGACTGACTGCAACACCACATGTAACTAACAGATGCTGTCATCACACTTTATATTCTACTCCAAAAGGTTACAACTTAAAAATCAGGTTTAGGTTATTTTTCAAATTGTTACTGGAACCACAAAAATCCCTCAAAAGATACTATGAAAGTAGATATGGAAGTCTAAGTAAGCAGAGTATGTTACCTACATTATTCATTGAACTTCACGTAAAAGTTAACCTGTAGGAAGGATCTGGTGACTTCAAAATTCTAAAACCATTGAAATGTATACAATAACTTACTTTTACTTTTTCACGTATTTTACATATTGTAAAAGAGGATAATATAAAATTAGTATCTTTAGTCTCTTTTAATAATTTGCTACGAACAATCAAAATTTACTATTTTATGGTTAAAACAAATACAAAGCTAAGAAACAACAAAGGAAGTGTAAAATTATGTTATTTCATGTAAATAACCATAACCTTACTAAGTTCACTCAGTTCACTAAACTTACTAATGGAAACAAATATTTCCAAATCTCATTACTACAAAAATCTCTGTAAGCAGAAAATCTCTCCACTATACAAAGTGCACTACTTGACAAAACAAGATGCAGTGTTTTATTATGAACTTCACCTTGAAATACAGTGTCAAATGAGTTTACTTTTAAGTGTTGAGAAAAAGAAATGAACACTCACCTTAATGAAGTTACAGATGGACAAGTCTGTCCATACAAACCCATCTGGCCACAAAGAGAATCTAAAAAGTAAACAAGAGTTAATTATTAGATGCTCCAAAATAAATTAAATTATAAATCACATTACAATTCTAATTAAAACTGTGAAAAACAAAATAGAATACTAAAAGAACAACCATTATCAGAACTCAAACTCACATGAATGAGAAATGCTACTGAATAGGAAGAGGTATTATAGAAGAAACATCAGGAAGAGTAAAAAAAGAAGCAAGCATACTACAACTGTGACATCCAAAAGAGCTGAGATTTCATAATCTGACAAATGATAATGCTTAGTGTATCCAAATTATTTAGAAAATCCCAAGCATTCCACAAAGGTGCCTAAGCCTTCATCAAATTGGGCATGCAGATCTCTGGTTCCAACATTAACTGCTCCCCCATTCATGTATCTCTTCAATGAAAGCAGTGCCACCTTCATTGGTTTTATTTACTAAACTTCACTAAAACATCTGAAGAAATAGTTCCATTGTTTAAAAAAAAAGTTAAGATTAACACTGGAACACAAGGAGCTCTGTCTGAATGAATTCTAGATTTAAATTCTAACTTGAAACACTGCTGAGACCTTAAAGAATTCACATAACCTCAACAAACCTCAGTTTCTTTATCTGAAATTTGGTAATGGAACACCTGTGTAACACTTTTATAGCTTTACCATTGCAGATTTGCTGTTAGAATTAAGTAATAAAGTGAACATATATGAAAATGTCTATTAGTGCTACTCTCCCAAGGATGTGCCAGTGTTGAATATTTTCATAAGAGAAAGGATGATTCACAAACACCAAAGATTCTTGTTATTATGACTTACATCTAGATGTTCCTCCCCTCCAAACTCCCATGTGCTCACAGAGAGTTTCAAAGGTGGCTGGATTAAAGTATGTGAATGTGGATTAAGAGTGTGACACTGGGATTAAAAGGATGGATAACAGAAACCCCACCATGGGTAAGGGCGGCACCAATCAACAGACTTGTAGCCTAAATGGAACATACAAGTAAGGAACAGAAAGCAGGCAAACTTGCTGCTACGGCTTGCAGAAATCTCTTGCCTGTTTGCCATGGACTGCATCTCCTCTGATGCCCTTCTCCCATGCCCATCTGCCGTGGAGCCAACTATGAACTGAAACTCCTACAAACTGTGAGTTGAAATAAATCTCTGCTCCTTTAACTTGAGGGTGCCAGGTGTTTTGTCTCAGCAATGAGAAAAATAACTGAGACATTAATATAAATGAAGTAAGTTAGGACAGGTATTGATGTATATGTGTGAATACACTGCACAAGTGATATAAGACTGAACAACTAAAGAGACCACGTTTAGTCTGAAAGGAAGGAGTCGCCTTCTACTGTCAGCTCTAATCAACTGCTAAGAAAGAGTGTTTTAGGCCCATTGTTTTGTTGGTGGGAGAGGTTTTTTTTGGGCGGGGGCGCAGGGTGAGGTTTGGTTTGTACTGGGCACTGAACTCAAGAGTCTTGCACTTTTCTACATCCTCAGTTCCTGATTTTTTGAAACAGAACCTTGCTCAGTTATTAAGCTCCGTAGACAGAAAGCTCAAACTTATAATCCTCCTTTCTCGGCCATCCAGAAGACTGAGATTACAGACATGTGTCACCAAATCCTGCTCAGCCCATTATTGTAAGAACTTTCAGTTTTTCAAAAGAAGAAATCCAAAATCTAATTTAAAAATCGATTTTTTATTTTCTAAATATTATGTAAGCCAACAAAAACACTGGATTCTGTTCTAAGTTTATAACTTAATTCAGAAGCTAACTAAATTACCAACAACTAAGTGTCCTGCATACGCTGGACAGACATGATTTTATTTCTGCCAGGATGACATGATAGATGGCTTGGTCACCATGTTCAGTTAAATAACTAGAATGCTAGATAATCTATTTTCAAATCTTTACAAATGAATCAAAAACCTGACAAAAAATTAGGTATCATCAGAAGTCAAAAACTAACTATAAGCAGGGAATTAGGGGGATATGCAGAGTACTAAAACTAGCTTTCCTTCACCGTTAGGACATTTATCAAACTATATGAATTCCAATTTTCAATTAATTTGAAGCCTCTTGAGGTCCAGCAAAAGTAGCGAAGTTCAGGTCTTACCCAAAAGAATTACAAGGAAGACTGCTTTGGAAGAGGAGAGGTTACAGGTGAGGGGATTTGGAGATGGGCAATTTGCAATGTAAAGCAGGCTAGTTTCAAAAGTCAGAAGCTCCAGGCTCAGGCTGGGGTTACAAATATACACCATCACACCAGACTGAAAACTACATTTTTAACATTGGCACCAGGTGTAGACAGGAGATAAGGGTAAGACAGCAGTGCAGTGGTGTTTCCTCTGATAGTTCACAACCATATTCTGACCTTCCCCCATGTTTATGATTTTAAAAGCTTCATACTTAGAAGTTGTTTACAGTGACTGCAGGATGGCAGTTTTCCTTTTCAACCTCAACACATGCAAATGCAAATTCTCCCTAGGGAATCCTCTTTGACTTAGGCCTTTAAAAAACTTCCACAAATAGGATCATAAAATTAATGATGTGAATACATTAATTCAATCAGTCATAAAACCCAGAAAGAAGCAAGCCACTCATAGCAATACACAGCAGAAACACCAGTTAGCATAATCAAAACCAAAGATATTGCTCTGTTTTTATTGTATGAGTGCTTTACTTGGCCCTCTATTGTAATCGCATGTATACAGATGAATCTCAAAATCTTTGTCTCCAGCAGGGATGAATAATCTGCTATCCAAACATAAATATCTAATATCCCTTCCTTGAAATTCCAAATTTGCGTTGTCTGAAATTGAATTCATCATCTTTACTTAATGTACTTCCTATCTTGATAAAGTGGCATGGCCTTCTCATCTAAGCACGGCCTTTGGGTTTCTAGCTTAATTTTCACATTTGTTAGAGAAGAAAACTTCTGTTGGACTCAGTTTTATGAGATATGACTTCTCTAAATACTACTAGTAGTTTACTCCTCTCCAAAAATTGCATGGTAGGTGGATATAACTTACTTAACAAAAAACTTGAACACCAAGGAGTCATTGGTGGGGACTGGCTCCTAAGAGGTTTAAGAATTAATGAAAGCCTAGTACAGTGGTGTACGCCTATAATCCCAGCACTCGAGAGGCTGAGGCAGGATTGCTGTGAGTTCACTACATAGCAAGACCCTGTCTCAAAAAACAAAAACAAACGACCCCCCCGATGAAACCTAATGAAAATATTCTAATAGTAATGAGTACACAATTTTGTGAATGTACTAAAAACTGAATTGTACACTCTAAAATAGAAAACTGTATGGCATGCTAAGTTTTACCTGGTTAAAAAATATTTTTTAATAAAAGGTGTTTCCTGCATCTTGTTTCTTTACTTGTTGATTCCTGTTTTCTCAGTCTGCTAAGAGTTCAGAGAGGGAAAATGATATTATATATCAAGTCCCCCAAACTGCAACATCCTTAGAACCTTCAGTCAATTACCCTTTACTACCAACTCTAGTTTCCAGCTAAATTTCCTATTCTAATGTAACGCCATGCCTTAGTTGCAGATTTCTCCAGTTTTCAGTTAGATTACTGAATGGTGTCCTGAATCTCAAACTTGTAGACTAAAAAAACCCGTATCAAACTTAACAGGCTACTAATCAGCAACACCAAAATCTCCTAAAAAGCTAATAATATTCACCCCCAAATCAGGAAATCTCACTGCTGATGTCCTCCAAGTTACAAACTTGTATCTCTATGGCACCTACTAGACATGCATTACATTCCTCAATTACATTCATAATTTATATGGTTTAAATTTGGTTTCAACAGCAATTAGTAGCATTTTCTTCACATTCTCTGAAAATCAGTATGTCACAAGTTTGTACAGAATGACACAGAATACGGATTTTAAGTCACTCACTATTTTGCACTCTTCAACGTGTGTTACTGCATTATATTCCACTTTCAACAGAAGAATGTGGAATTCCTTTAAATAAAAGCAATTAAACAGTTACAAACTATTTACATTTAGGAAGCAGCTGTTAAAACAAATATAGTTGTATATTGGTGCATTACTGGGAATAGGAGGTGAACGTGGAGAAAGTTATTTTCAAAAAGGTCCCAAGTAATTCCTATAAGCCCTCTCCTCTCCTACCCTTATAGAAATACAATGCTTTATAATTTACAAAGAATTTACAATGATGATGTTGTAGGCAGGGGTTGCAAGGAAAACAACTACATACAGGATACAGAATTTATACTATTTTATGATAATCACCCAGCATTAAATAGAGAAAATGCAGGAAATCTGTTCACCACACTAAAGATCTAGAAAATCCAGCCAAGGGTCTGGATCCCACAGCAATGTTCTGCATGAGTCCAGCTGAAAACCTAGAGCCCATGACAATGACCCATTCAAGTCTGTTTTATGGATATACAGAGAAGGCCCAAAGGTCATCGGTAGAAGCTAGAAAGTCTACGCCAGCAGGGTGAAGGATTTGTGCAGTAGATTGAAGGTTCTGCAGTGGAACCAAGAAGCGATGACTCAAAATAAGAACCAGGGCATCCCTGAAAATTACCACAGCCATCCTCAGTGACAATGAGGTCCCGAGCTCCTCAACGATCAGAATTCAAGTGTGACATATCAGGAAGCCACCGTGCCAATTTCTGCTGGAGATTAAACAGCACACATCTTGCCCTCTGGAGCCAAGAAGGGATGCTCAATGTAAGGACCAGCGTTCCTCCAAAGTGAACCGCAGCCATTCTCAGTGATAAGGTCCTGAGCTCTTCCAATGAAAATAGCTAAATTCATTTCGGAGTTGCTAGCCATGACAAGCTCCTCCAGAACCAATGGCTCCAAACAACACTTAGGAGAACACACAACACCCCACTTTTCCCCACATCTCCTTTTATGCTGGCAACTTTCCTCAGGTGGACCAGCAACACTCAGCACCATGCTGATTTAATTCAGCTGGTGTTAAATTGACCACCAGTTTTTAATCCATAACAAATGATTT